TGCTGTTTGCTTTTCAATTGCATTCTTTATTATCCCTCAACTTTCTGGTGGAATTTTGCTGAAATGCTGAAGTCTTTGTCTGTCCTCATTGGAGACTATGCGGTGGTGGGTTCTGATGAATGTTGCTGGCAAAAGGCTTGACAATGAGAGGTTCCTGATTTTGCATTTATTATGTCTGTCCTAAGAACAGTTTTTGCTTTAATGCTGCGCGCGCGCGTGTGTGTGTGTGTGTGTGTGTGTGTGTGTGTGTGTGTAGGCCTCTTTAAGGAGAGTGAGTAAAGGAAGGAACAGCAGGTAAAATTCCTTCTAAGTGACTTAGCATGATAATGGGGCCTGCTAATAATTGGAAGAGACTTTGGAAGAGTTGGTCCTTTAACCTGGGCAACAAAAGGGGAGCTGATTTCAGAGTGACAGAGGAGTTAGACTTTGAATTCAGATCATACATGAACTTAGATGTAAACTGCTAACAAAGTTAAATCAATCCTTTACACATTTTGTATTTACCTACCCAGTCGCCTGCATTAAAAAAAAGAACCAAATGGTAACTCGTTAATTTCTATATTTTCATGATCAATAGACTTTACACCAAATGAAACACCTGGAGGAGCGAGCTGCTCACAATGAGCTGAGCATTTTTGTGTAATAAAGTATTAAAAAGGTAGATGGAATATAACTCTTGGTCACTTTATTGAAGAATGATCCCAAAGGTAAAAAAACGAAAGGCAGCCTTCCAGTGGTTATAGGTGGAAACACTAAGACTTTAAGACTTTGAATTTCCGGTGCACACAGTTCTCTTCCATAAATAGCACACTTGCTATCTCCACCTTTTGTTTTACTAAAACGAGGAAAGTGATTTGTAACACTTTATAGCACTATAGGACAGTAATGTTAGGAAACAGCTCGCTCTGGTTACTTGTGGCTTATAAAAGTAGATGTTACTGTATCCTCCATCTCCTTAGAATATTACTGTAGTGAAACTCTAATTTCGTACTGCCAGTAATACCAACTTTGTTTCATTAAAATGAATTCCTGATGTAACCTGTCTTGGCATTCTCCCTTTTTATTACCAGAAAATAAAACAGCAGTTTTTCTTCAATAGAGAAAAGCTGGAAGCATGTAATTGATATGCAGCCAGTTTTTACTACAGACTCCAGAATGCTTTGCGTCGATAGCCTACATTCCCCATACTGCAGCACCAAATTGACTGTTAACCACTCAGTTACTGGAAAAGAAAGGGGAAAAAGGCAGAACAGAACATTTGAGAGAACTCTGTAACATGCAAGGACTCTACTTGGAGAGCAAATGATGACTTTTTGCAATATTCGGAGATAGATTTTGCTTTTACCTTTAGTGGGGGAAAACCACCAAACATAGCTACATGTCCACAGACGGTTTCCTCATTAGCCTCAACGTGTTAAGGCTGACACTTCCCATGGCCAAGTCTTTTCTTGTGGAGAAGTGTAGTTGTTTTTCAGCCCCTTTGGAGGGAGGTCAGCTTTATTCAGGCTAAAAAAAATAAAATCACAAAAACATTCTTGAATGCTCTAAACATCTGCAAATAAGAACTCCGTGAAGTAATTAAAATTCTTAATTAGATGCACCTTGCAGCTGCTGTTCGTCTTAATTGGCAATAATGCAGCTATATTTTGTTCTGACACATATCTTCAGAAGAGTTCCAGAGAACTGAAGGGAAGCAAAGGGGAAAACGTTCCCACACAGTTCAAGACAGTTCGCACAAAGAGGATCCCATGGCAACAAACAGGCCCACAGTTGGCTCGGTAAGATCCAGGAATAGATAATGCTTTACCTCGGATTCCAACAAACACTTCCCTTTCTGGATCCAAAGGGAACAAGATTGAAATCACCCCTTGCCATGGTCAAAGGTTCCCTATGTCTTTAAGGTGTTTCACTCCGTGTCTGCGTGCTCTCTGGGGCCCTTGGGACGGTAATAAGTGTCACCTGTACTCTGTGTTGAGCAGCATCGAAAATAGAGGACTAGAAGTTGGCACACTATGGAGCAACATGGCAACCAGTTCACTTGAGCCTTTTATTTTAGACAAAGACAGCGAGGCCACGAGAAACAAAAGTGATTTCCTTGCATCATGATGGCTCTTGAGGAATCAACTGGAGGGTAATTAACAGGAGTAGAAATCAGAATGTAATCTAGGCTCCCAGAGTCACGGATTTGTCCTTCTTGAATTTCCTTGTAGCACTGATGCTTGTGAGTTGTGCCATGTGCCAGGCAACTTTAAAGTCCTGTGCATACATCTCACTGCTGTCCAGCTAATTGGGACTCCTAGTAATCCTGTGGGACCGAGTGGAATTGCCCCTGTGGGTGGGTTTCCGACGCTGCAACTCTTTACGGGAGGAAAACCTCTCATCTGCCTCAGGTGGAGCGGCTGGGGGTTTCCAGACTGCTTATCTAGCGGTTCATAGCTCAATGTGTAACCGCGGTGCCACCAGGAGTCAACTAATGCAGGGATCATCTCCTTGCTGAGGGGCTATGATATATTTATTCGTCTTTTATTTCTGGTCCCCAGATAACCCTGGGTTATGCATCGGGAGTGGTGGAAAGAGCAGGTTGAAGAGAACCCCCTGTGCGTGGATTTCTCTGGATAAATCACCTCTAAGGAAACACCAACTTGCTGGAGCTTGCTTGCTGACTGAAAGCTTGGTGGGTTGCTTCAAACCCACCTGGAGGTGCCATGAGTCCACTTTACTAGTTACATGGTATGTATATCTTTTAAGTCAGTACTTTGTTCTATTTTGTTGTTGTTGTTGTTATTGTTTGCTTTAGGGAAACCACTTAAGATTTGCCTACCAAATCTTCTCAACTATATCTTCCCTCACTTTTGATGGGAAAGTTCAGTGTATTGCTCCTTCCTTGAAAATACAGAAATACCTCTTTCTGATGTGTCAATCCCGGGAGCCCTGGTGTCCTAGCGGCTATGCACTGTGCTAACCACAGAATGAGCCTTGCAAAAGGACCACCGCCTCTCTGTGGCAGACTGCGGTCTCCTTATGATCTGACTGGTGCCTTCAAGGCCTCAAATCGAAAGAGGATGTGCTTCTCAAGAGGCCAGGTGGTTTAGTGGTTGTATTTGTTCTCTCAGATTTTAACCCCCTTTATCCTTTCCATTACAAAAGCCCTTGCAATACATGGTCGAGTGCCTTAAGGCTTTTAGAATGGGGATTCATTACAGTCCTTGTCTGGGAGAAGTGGAAGGGAGGGGAGGGGAAGCAGTGATCCCTGAGAAAATGTTTCTTTGCCTTCCATCTCGGACTTCTGGCAGCATAGTGGGTTACGCTTTGGCCTAGTAACCCTAAAGCCAGCAGTCCAAAAGAGGTCCTTTCTACTCCTGTCAAGAATCTCTGGCAGTTCTGCAGTGCAAGGTCGCTGTGAGCCCTAATGGACTTGATGGCAGAGAGATTGGCTGGGTGCTTTCTATCTGCCCCCCCCCCCCCCCCTAGCCCTTCCCGAGAGGCTTGTTTCTCCAGGTGGTCCAAGGAACAACATTGTCAGCACCTGGGGAACTTCTTAAGGAGTCCTGGTGAGTGCTAACTGCAAGGTGGCAGTTCAAACCCATTAGCTGCACGGAGAGAAAGATGGGGCTTTTTGTTGAGTAACCCTAGATGGGGTCCTTAGGTGTTGGGACGGACTAGGTGGCAGCGGCTTTTTAGTTTGGGAAATTTAAAAACAGAGGTTCTTGGGCCTCACTCACCTTGACTTCCTGAATGAGCATTTGCATTATAACCAAACAGCCCAGGGGAGTGTGGCTACCTTAAAGTTTGAGAAGCACAGCGGAGCGCGATCCCCAGGGAAAAGGGTAAAGACCTCCTTGAGCAAAGAACCAGATCGATTTTCCCCAGCAAGGGACTGTGTTTTCTCCTCTGCCTTTCCATCGCAGAAACCTGCAGCGAACTATTATGTAGGGAGCTCGGTGATCCGGTGGCTGAGGAGAGGCGCATCTTCCTCAAGCCCCTCAGCTCGAGCCCCCACCCCGCCCTCGCCCCAGGGAGCCTTCCCAAAGCATCCGATTCCCAGGCTCAACTCTGGGAAGAGGTTGCTCCTCCCCTGCCAGACCGAGCCGAGCCGCAAGCTGCCGCTCCGAGGCTGATTTCCCCAGCACTCACAGTTCACATACCAATAGGGAAAGAAGCACTTGGCAAAAACTGTTCTTTGGAAAGAAGTAGCTCCAGGCCACCTGAGGTTTGGAGCAGCCCCCTCCCCTCCCAGCACTACTGGCCTTCTCTCTGAAATCTGGCCTAAAGTGCTGGTGCCAGTGGCCGTGTGTGTGTGTGTGTGTGTGTGTGTGTGTGTGTGGTGTGTTGTGCGTGCGCGCGCGCGCGTGTAATGTGCGCGATGGCCAATCTGCTCCATAGAGGTGAGATGGAAAGGAGGTTCTTAGGAGTGCTGGCAGCCTAGGCATCGCTTTCTGTACCTTAGTGCTGCCCAGAGAACTGGAACCCGACTCTAAGGTGGCTCCCGCCGGCCAGGGTAAGCGTCCAAATTCAGAGGTCTACATTTGCCTGGAAGTACAGGTTCCCCAAAGGCAAGGCCTCCCAGAGTCCCTTCCAAAAGATTCCCCAGCTCCCCTCCTTCCTGTTCGGGCTGCTGAAAACTCAAACTCGCAAAGCAGTGGCTGTCTGTGGATTGGCTAGTACTAAAATATCCATTGGGTGGCAGTAACACTATCCTCTTTATGACTTGCAGCAAACCAGAGAATGCATTCAATCAAATGAACCGATCTTGTAGAAACACTGGAATCATTTATGCATTGCAGTTTTTCTTTCTGGTTTTCGCTCCTTCTTTGCTTGGATATCTTTGCGTGTACTGTGGCGTTTAATCAAGATCTCGGGCTTTTCGTGGGTTGCTTGTCGTGTACGCTCTGGATTAGCATCGTTAAAGGCAAACGCAAAGCCGCTTTTTTTCTCCGTACTCTTTTTATTTTTTTGAAAAATTCATTTTTGGGGGCTGCTGGAGAAAGCTAGGACCCAGGAGACACCCTTCCGAACAGCAGGGGTTGTGTGCTTTCACATAGCAGTACAGTACAAGGAAAACCCCGTGGATCTGTTATTGCGGGATACTTGTGAAATATACATAGAATTCTTTCTCATGGCTGCATCCCGGATCTGGACATTTTACTTGGGAACCAGGAGGATTTGAAAGGCTACATGTATTCAGAAGATTTGCACGCGAGACTCCGATTCTTGTCATAGGGCTTACAGACTTCCTCAGTTATTTGCCGTTTTCTTTCTTTTTTTTTTTAATTAAAAATTTCCCTCTTTTTTTTCTGCTCTCTTTCAGCCTCTCCATTGATAGCTGACTCTTCTTTTGCTCCTCGTCTTTTTGCTCCCCTTTCTGCTCTGCACCTGGATTGTATCTTTACCAAACAATCGGGCACTTTGAGAACTAACTGGAGACAGTCTTGTAGGGAAGATCTATATGGAATTATCGGCTTTGATGGTGAACTTGGCAATTGTGAATGGGTACCTTGTTCACGATATTAATTGCTAGGAAACATAAGAAAAAGAACATAGGAGTAAAACGTGGATTTTTTTTCTCTGAATTACGCATTGTGATGACCAGCAATTACCTTACAGACTGATATCCAGAGGAGAATCATTTGGAAGACGGTTGTGGGTAAGGTCATTTTATATATACAAAACCATCAGTGGTGTGAGCAAACTTGGCTGTTTGTAATGGGTATGGGTGACTTGGATGATTGCTGCATCGCATTGATGACTGTGATGTGGCCGTTATTGGCACTGAATGGAATAACTGCAGTTGTGTGTGTGTGTGTGTGTGTGTGTGTGTACACGCGCGCGCACGAGAGCACTTCTGTGTTCTGAGTGTAATTGAAGATAAATCAAAGCCTCACTTTACCCTAACCCCAATTATTTTGATCTGGAAGAGTGTCTTGAGTTAATTCTGGAGAAATACTCTTTGTTTGGATGCAATTGGGGACTCCTGTGTTCGGGGAGGCATAGCAGCAGTGGAAGGAACACTTTGTGAGGAGCTCTGTGTAAAATGAAGTGAGCTACTCTCGATTCATTAAAAGAAATATGTTTTCCACTCAGTGCAGCAGTCTGCTGCATTTCACAGCCGCAATGGGACCACAGACATCCTACTTGTCAAGTTCTTAAACTTTAAGCTGATAATCATTGTTCATTTTCCTCCAGATTGTGATTATTGAGGCTTATTAAGAACCCCGGGCCACTTTTTAAAAATTCTCCAGGTTATTATTCCTACTGGGGAAAAAAGGGAGGGGGCAAGAGATCTGAAAAGGGTGACTGAAATAGAGAAGAATCATGCAACATTATCCTAACGTCACCACAGAGCTTGCTTTCTCAAGTTCAAGTGCCCAATAATGTAATTATCTACCCAATATACTAAATAGCTGAATCTGCGACCCACGTGCAGGGGAGTTGAAGGTCTGGGATCGGAGACCATCCTTTTATTGCAATGCAGCCAGTTTGGGAGATGCAGGCAATTACACACTTGCCTTAACCTTAAGTTGAAGATGTGTCCTATCTGCTACATCTATTTTACCCTTTCAGTAAAAAAGTTAGAGACTAGAGCACTGAGATTGCTTAAGCATATTCTACCTGGGAAATGAGGGTAAAAAAATCAATATTGATGACGTGGTTCAGTGCACTGTACTGCAATGCTAAAGTCCCATATTCAGTAACTATGATGAGCAAATGGAGCAGTTACATGTGTCATCAATCTCACCTGGTATATTGATCCCAAGTGGAGGGGTGAAGCTATGTGGCTCTGTAGGAAGATGGATGGAAATTGTGCATAATCGGTGCTTATGTAACTTCATTACATCAGCGAGCCCTAGTCAACGATAGTGATATGAAATGATTGTTTAGGGACTCCATCACCCAGTTAACTTTTGAAGCCTTGTAATAGCTAGCAGAGAAGGTGGGAAGACAGAGAATAGCTCCGAGGGTCCTGTAAACCTGGGTTTCCGCGGCAGATGTAGCATGAGTCTTCTCATAGTGAGTTTCTCAGGGATAGCAGATTGCTTAAGCTTTAGGACTGGCCAGGGACAATTTTAGCCACACCCTTAGAGTCTCTGCAAGGTTTCACAAGTGCCCCATTGAGTCAATGGGGCTGGTGAGGATGCCAGCCAAGGTCATAGTTCTTTCTGTGCTGTAGGACTGAAAGCTGTGGCCCCAACTGCCTGGAAAGTGAAATCCATTACAAGGAAACCTGTGAACCAAACGACTATTTAGAGTCCTATCTCTGCATTTCTCTCAGGTAGAGCGCAATGCTGATTTCAGGTTGGTGGCTCCCTCCTAAAAATGATGATTGCTTCTACAGAGTGTTAGCTATGAGGGTTTTGTATCTCGAGCTTTGCCATGACAACCTCTTTCTGGGCCATGTTAACCCCCGGGGCGGGGTGGTGGTGGTGGTGGTAGAAAAAAAGTGAAAACCTTCCATGGTAATATCCTGTTAAATTAAAAGAATAATAATAAAATGAAGAAGAAGAAGAAGAAGGAGAAATGGCAACAAATTCATTATGAATGCAAATCCCAGAATTAAAGAGCTACCTATTTTCAAGTGTTACTTCTTGAATGGCTTAAAAGACGTGTTGCCACCACACTTGACTTTCCCCCTCAGATGAGATCAATGTGCTGTGCTCTCTGTACAGAAGAGGGACTACCGCAGAAGGAAATGCCCTTTCCTCAGATGTTTCCTTTCGAGCTGTGAGTTTTAAAAGAAGATGCACATCAGCTGCATTTTGGCCTTCTGTTTGAGGCATCTTTTTCTTCTTTTTCCTCTCCCCACTCCCCCTTTCATTGAGTATGTCTTTCCTTCAGCTGAAACTCCACTGAAATCCTGACCCTGTTGACTCATCTTATGATGTCCCGTGCCTGGTTCCTCTTTCTTTTTATATTGATGCTGCAAAGGAGACTAAGGGATTTTTCTAGTGGGGAAATGAGAGACTGCTTGCTTTTCTCATATTCCATTTCCTGACAACCGCCTGGAGTCAGGAGCAAGGTCTAAATACCTCCCTAAGTTTTACATGAACTAGACCTGCTTACCCACCCACCCCTATCCCAATTAGAGGGATGGGTTGATGTAATGACCATTTGAAGTGACTTATTTTTGCAGGACATGTCCCAAATTTGACATACCTTGTGCCAGTGAATGTGGAGGTTTGGTGTTCATATTGCGTAGGAAATCAGATGGAAAGTTAAACTCCTGATTCCTTCCTTCAGGGGTCAGAGTAACACGACAGCTGCTTCCAGGCTATGAGTCTTCAACTCTGGGCAGAACTATTGTCAGCCATGATCTTTCCCCTACCCCTTATTTTAATGTTTTATAAATGACCCCTTCATTTGTTTTCTGACCTCAGCCACATATTTGTGAACCAAACAGGGCATATTCTGGAGGTTTCCTAAGCTCAGAAGGGGGTGGAAATTACTGGAGAAGAGAAGTTTATTTAAAAAAAAAAAGACACAGACCGTGAAATATACCTACTCATGGAATTGCCATAATCTTTTACTTGGATTCTGCATTTATTCACATTAGATAAAAGAGACCTGGGCATTTTAATGCTACTTTCTAACCTGTTACTTTCTTTAGGAAGAAGATTATGTAACCACAGTAGGTTGTGCCATTTTCTTAAGTCTCCTACAAATCAATAATAATAAAAAAGATTTGCTTAGTAGGAAAGCGTTTAAAATATGGAGGCAGTGAGTAATTTAGTCCTCGATTTTATTGCCATTTTGACAGCCCAGGTCATGTAGTTATATGGGAAGATACTGGAGAGATGAAAAGGAGAAAAAAAACCTTATAAATACGGAAACTGCTAGTTTTTATCTCTTTAACCAGTTGCTTCAGCAAAGCCAGATTTAGCTGATAAGTAATCAGTATTTCTAAAAGTAGAGACAAGTTTAAATGGAATTTTTCTGGAATTTGCAATGTATGCGAGCATGTCAGTATCAAATGAATAATAGATAAAACATTCGTGGGAAAAACGAAATTGGAGAATTAATAGAAGATTTATATTTCAGAATCATTTAGTCTGTTATACACTGAAGTGGCTGGGCTATACTTGGTCTGAAAACATAGAAATCTTTGGTGTTTGACAAATCTTCCGTTTTTCTAAAAGCAGACTTCTCTAATTTGTGACAATCAGAGCATCCAAGTGTTGATTAAGACGATTTAAAAGTAACACGTTCACTGGTGATGTTCAAGTTATAAAGCATTAATTAAAATGGCACCATTTGGGCAGCTATAGATAAGATTATGTCAGCATTTTTATGATTAAATTCAAATGCTATTTCCATTAGTTGTCAGGAATCTCTGAAAGGAAGACTGACTCTCTGAAATGGCAAGGCATTGCAGAATGCTGGGCTGCATCCGAGGGCTGGAGCTGTGAACCCTGACCCCTTATTTCACTTCTTCATGTTCCAGACAATCATTACAAAGAAAAGAGCTGGGTGTTGCTTTTTTAAAAAATGGAGATCATATGTGCCGAACGCTTTGGTGGCTAGCTTTCACTCTGTTCTGTTATTTCATAATACAGGGACACGGGATTCCTGGTGGTGCATTGCTTAAACGTTTTGCTGCTAAGCGAAAGGTCAGTAGTTCGAAACCACCAGCCACTCTATGGGAGAAAGACCAGGCTTTCCATTCCCATCAAGAGTTAGGGTCTCGGAACCCCACAGGAACAGCTCTACACAGCTCTACCCTGGCCTGCAGGGTCTCGGTGAGCCTGAATCAGCTAGATGGCAGTGAGTTTTTAATTATTTTAAGGAACGACAAAGAGATAACTGGTTTTGAATAACATTCAAATTGGTAACGAAGGGCTTTGTGCATGTGTGCTGTTTGTGTGTGTGCATGTGTTTTCAGCTGATTGCTTTTTTATTTAATGCTTCTGTGTACAAGAGTTTCTTTTGCTTGTACTAAGAACAGACAAACACAAATACACAAACAAACTAGAATTGGGTCTATTGACCAAAAAGCGACTTTCATCTGTCATTTTATTAATGAAAGCCCAGTAGGTATAGGTATGGCTAGCACATGAAATAGAGGAATAAGCTTACACACATACCAAGTTCTGTTGTGAAATTTGCTAGTTGCAATAATTACTAATGTTCTTTAGGGGGAGGCAGTCCCCTTTGTGTCACAACGAACACTGCAGTTCTTTAAATGTTCTGTGTCTTAACATAAAAATATTCACAGATAAGAAAAGGAGGTGGATTGAGTTATGACTTTTCATACCTGTTTTTAAGTGAATGGATAAGCATATTGACAAGCAAGATTTTATATTTTATAATTGAAAAGTGGGAAAGTAACCCTGTATAGGATAAGTAAAATATATATGGACTTCAAATAAAGAACTTGCATGCAATAGACCCACGCCCTCTTCCTATCTGCCTGGGCCTTTGCTTTCTTTGCTTGGGAAGATTTTGATTATGTGTATGTATATGGTCCCAACTTCATTGAGGCTTAGAAATTGCAAGCATTTTCTTGGCTTCCATATTAAAAGTGAATCCATATTTCTTATGCTTTGTGGGCCGGCTTCAGATGTGCTCTAGCAGATTTGTAAAGGAATATTGCAAGAATGTAGTCAGGCTTGTTTATTTGATAAATTCTGCGAATCACTTTGTCAACATGCT